GGGTCTGCTGCAGCAGCTGGGGTGAGTGGGAAGAAGCAGATCCCCGGGAGGTTTGGGGCATGGTGCAGCCCAGCAGCTACAGGCAGTTGGCATTAGCTACTCCTGCAACCACTGTAGCAGGGACTGGGGTGAGTGGGGAGAAGCAGAGGCCCCAGGCTGCAGCAGGCAGCAAGGTAGCAGGAACTGTGAGTGGGTGCGGGATAGGGATGTGTGGCTCCTGCTGCTACACCCCCCCCCCCCCCCCCCCCCCGGGCGGGGGGGCTGTGCTGGGCTCTTCCTGAGGGGGGGCGTGGGCCCCCAGATCTGTGTTCCTGACAACAGCAGGCTGCTGCTGCAGGCTGGTACTGGCAATGACATCAGGCCAACAGTGGGCAGACTGGGGGGGGCTACGGTGAATTTTGGGGTGGCAGCAGCCCCCCTTCCAGCGCTGCCACCTCATTCCTTCAAGCAAGGCTGGGCTCTTCCTGGTGCTTCAGGCAGGCGATGGTGCTGGGAGTGGGGCTGCTGCCACCCCAACATTTGCCATACCGGCCCCAGTCAGTAGCAGCAGCCTGCCATCCCATGCGCAGATCCGTGGGCCTGCGCCTCCCCACCCAGGAAGAGCTTGGCGCAGCCCTGCAGCCCTCCCTGAGGGTGTGTAGCAGCAAGAGCTGCACCCCTGCCCCGTCCCATGCCCCTCACCTACTCACAGTTTCCGCCACTTTGCTGCCTGCTGCAGCCCTGGGATTTGCTGACAGACTGCATCGCACCCCTTCCCCTGCCCCTTCCCTAGTCCCAGCCTCCCTCTCTCCTTCCCTCACCTCCATGGGAATGTATCCCTATTTGTTACATTATAAAGTGGGTTTGCTTTATACAAATTTGATTTATGTGCCGTTCTCCGGGAACACATGTACTGCACAAGTGAGGGGAAACCTGTAATTGTGCAGTTACCTTAGACCAGCTACACATGCAAAGTACTTACCACATGATTAAAGCTCCAACCAGCTATAAAGATAGACCTCAAAAATGTATACTAACTTTATAGCTGCTTGGTATTGAACTTTAATTTGTGCATGTAACAGGCACTCCCTAGTGGCTGGAAGCCCATCAGCTCCAAGGGCTCCAACCATAGGGGTGCACTGCACCCAGCATCAAACCCCTATGCCCGGGGAATGGCGGTTGCTATGATCCCCAAGGCTCAGTGGTTTTGAGCACCCGAGCCTTGGGGACTGCAACTGCTGCCATCCCCCGTGTCTGGCTGTTTCACACACCCTTAAGCCTGAAAGTCATGGTTGCCATGATCCCCTTGCCTTGGGAGCATGTGGGATGCCCCTATGACTAGGAGACCCTCAGCTGAGGCTGTAGAGGTATGGTAGTGTGGATCATGCATTGGATCCCATTGTGCCTTTATCTGCACTTGTAGAGAGGGCCAGAAATACATCAGTGATGGGGGGAAATGAAGCTGAGAAAAGCATGTTTTTGATCTTTCATCCTTGAGGTTTCCTCAGGAGGTAGCGCTAATTTTGCTACAATGAAAGTCAGTCTATTTCATTTAACAATTAAAATGCAGATCAAATATTTGGCTACAGTGCACTATTTGGATGCATCTCTGAAGTGAACTGAACAAGAAGGGAGGAAAAACTCTTTTAATTATATATGCATACAATCTCGTTAAAATTGGGGTGTGCTATTTAAAGGGAGTTCTATCCAGAAAAATGAATATTTTGACACTTTAACTTGGTGTCCATTTTGAAGAATAATATAATTCTAAGGTGTGATATCATTGCTAATAAAAAAGTAGCTTTTTAAAATTTGAAAGGCTTCCATGAATAATGCAGGGTAATAACAAAACAAAGCATTCACAACAGCAGTAGATCTCTAAAGTGCTTATATATGCCTTCAAAACAATTCAGTAGCTTTGAATATAAAAACTTGTAGTACATTCTTCAGAATATTGGATAATTAGGTTAATCTGGCACTGACAGAACACAGAATGGAATATTACAAGTAGGAAATTCCTGGAACAAATGTACAATTTCATTTTTAGGGTGTGCTTTTTCTTAAGATCTCTCTCCCCCTCTCGATCTCTTCCTCTCTCTCATGTATACATATAGTATATATGTATGTATTTAATTAATATATAATAATATATAAAATAATAGGTGCATATGCACATGCACGCACACACACAGTGTTCCCTATAAACACTTATTTTTGAATCACCAAGCAATATAAATGTCAAATATTTTATTAATGCGTAGGTTAAGTAAGAAGATATACAGAAAACAATGCTAAGAAGTAATATCAAGGTTGGAGATAGGAGCTTCAAGAAGTCAAGACATTTAACCCAAGTTGTATGTTTAAGCTAAACTTTTACTTGAAAATGATGTGCGTGTAGTATTGATATACTCTACTATAAATACTACAATTACTATTAACAGAAAGTTAATAAACATAGCTGTGAGGAACAGTCTTTGCAAACTCCAAGAATTTAAGGATTGATAATTTCCTCCACCACAAATGAGGACAAAACATTGAAGTCACATAAGTTTTTACAAAGTACACATCTAGGAAAGATTTAGGGTTATATTTATTTTGTGAAAACTTACATTTTTCTGTAGAGTTACTGTATTTACTGAAGTTGATTGGGGGAAAAAGCCTCATCTACAACATGGGGAAAGAAACTCCTCATCTTACGTTCACATACAAAGAAACCTCATTAACTACATTGTCTATCATTGAATTCTGCCAAAGCAGCATGTGCTCCATAATGGAAACAAACTATGAAATTGATTAAATGCAGCCAAGACAGAGCATGGCTATAAAACATATGGCCCACTGTTAGAAACTTTTTTTGTGGTTGTTAAGAAAAATGGGAAGTTGCTTTCCTAAGAGAGAATGGGCTTAGGCCTAGAGGTATTACAGTACCAGGCCAGCACTCAGATAGGCCACAGCAAGTTCTGTCATCCGCCCCTGATGCCAAAAATGGAGATGGGAGACTATCATAAGCCCAGGTTAGTGTAGTCCACCTGAATAAGATAGATGGTAGTGCCTACTACTCTCAATCCCCCTCAACATTGACTCCTTTTCAAGTCATGGTGAGCCACTACATTAAATACATTTTGACGACTTCTTCCCTCCAACAGCTCAGCTATGCCTTTCTTTCCTATTTCCAAACCATTCTTATTTTTTCACCAGCCTTAAATGCCTGGGAAACATCACCAAATGGAGACCTAAACATTTCACCCAAAATCACTCTGTTCCCCACCCCCATAGCTTGTTGCATATGATTAGCTTGGCCCTGTCCTCCATGGGGTGGAACTGGACCAGGTTGTCCTGTGCCTCATCTGCATATAAATTTTTGGAGGATCCTGGGACTCATGACAAGAACACCCACTTTCAGTCATAAGTTGATTGCTAATTAGCCCAAGGATCCTTTTGTGGGGCATATCTGGAATATACACACATGCTGAGCTGTGCAGTCACTATGGCTTAATATGCTGTTGACTCTGCTGGCGCCCAGCCCAATGAACTATATGGTAAATGATGAGCCTTTTGGCTTTGGATTAATACCATGTATAGTTTGTGCTATATATACATAGGTACAAAAATGTTACTTAAAAGTATGTTTATGAAGTATTTGTGCTAAAACTTGCAGCAGTTTAAAAAAAAGTCAAATGCATTAATTGTAGATGAACTTAATTACTACAGGTATGGTTTATTTCAAAATCAGTGTTTTAAAATGTGTCCCTCGCATCCATGTGCTTAAGGAAAGCAGGTTCTGATAGTAAGCGGGGGGGAAGGAGGAAGGGAAGGGGCTGCAGGGGGAAGAAGTTCTGTGGGGCAGAGGGCAAGGCAGCCACCAGGCTGCCCTCCCCC